TACAGGAGGACCTGGCAGTGTTTCATAAATTCCAACCTCATTCTCCTCGGACACATTTTTGTTCTGTTCTCTCTTGATTTTTGTAGGAGAGGAAGACGATTAGAAGAAGGAGGAAACTGGAGACAGAAACAAAGCAACTGGTTAAGCAAGAAGAATTGAAGAGACTTCACAAAGCTCAGGTCAGAAAACAAACTCAAGGCCTGTCAGTGGACCTGGGGTTTGGGACCCCTGGACACTGAGGTCAGAAAGGGTTTTGCCACGTCTGTATTGTATCAGGGGAGAGGGACTAGGAAAATGTCAGTCAAACTTCTCTGATGGGCCAGATGGTGGTCATTCTGAAGGCCTTTGTACAGCTCTGGTGGGACTCTGGGCCCAAGGATTGAGCTGGCCTGCTCCCAGCCACCGTTCCGTCTCCCGCACAGGGAGCCTGGGACAAGAACCAGGGCAGTGGCCTTGGGAATCCTTTGGCGCCCTGGCTGCTGCAGAGCAATGGCCCTCACTGTTTCTTCTGTGGACACACACCTGCCTCCCATTCCCTTCAGGTCGATGCTGAATGAATGTGTATGAGAGGTAGTCTCCGTGCCATGACTGGTTGGAAACAGGAGTAGCCAACATTCCTGTATAGACAGTAGAGATCTTGCGAGCAAGCTCCATCTCCCCGAAGAACGTCAACTGAGTCTTGAACAACAGTTGGGTTGTGTGACATAAAGACTAAGAGTGACTTCTGTATTAACCCAACACATACCTTGTCCCCTGCCTCTAGTTCTTCCCTTTCTCTGGCCATGTGATCCCGCCCTTGGTTTCGGACAAGCTGGGAGTCATTTAATCCGACTTCCTTTCTCCTTCACCTGGAAACTGACCCAGCAGTGACCCTCTTCACCGCTGCCTAACACGAAAATCCCAGAGCCCCACCTCTGTCCACTCCCAGTCTCCCCTAACGGGTTTCCATGAATCACTTCAACTTTTCCTTCTAAGAACAAGACAAGTCTTTATGACACAGATCGGCAAAGTCGGCGATTTCCCAGCCGGGTCTTTTCCATGCAGACAGCGGGCTGTAATCGGAGAAGAACACAGGTGGTCTTTTGAGTCCTAATCGGTGGGACTGCACCACGGCCCCATGAGTCTTTGCAACGATGTTCATCCTGTTCCTGAAGAATGTCCACACAGTCCTAACTGCACAGCAATCCATGACAAAACCACTCCAGCGTGTTCTTTCCTTTAGAACTTCTGCACCACGGCAGAAAGAGATGAATTGAGAGGGATGTAATGATGAGCGAGCTAGAGACAGAAAGAGAGAACACGAGGGCCTGAAATCACAAGTCATTTCGATGGAATTCCCATCTGTTTTGGATTCCATTTTGGGTTTTAAACACCCTAAGCTAGGACCAGAGGAGCCAGGTGGCTGTTCGGGTCCTAGTCCGCTTGGGAACCATCAGAAGTGAATTAAGGGGAGGTGTAGGAAGGGGGAGGGCGGCAGAGCAGAGTGGAGGTAAAGGAGGAAGCACACGTGCGTTCTGCATGACCAGGCAAGTACCTGGTACAAACTTAGTGTGTCCAGAGGTGTGCAGCCTGGTGTCACAAAGCCAAAAAAATGGAGATTGACATTTATGTAAGAGGGACCCAGCACACACACCTCTCATTTTCTTCACTAGTCTCCACAAGAGAGAAGTAGCTGGTGGGAACATGAAACATATGACACAAACCCAGCCATGACCCTTAATTGAGTGCCTTAATTAAGGCAAGTGTGGGGTTGTGTCTTAATGGACTAAGTGGTGTGGACCTTGTCTTAATAACCTGCTAGTAACAAAGCCACCGTACCCTCCCACAGGAAAGGATCCCTGGGCATCAGCCCGGTGGCGCAGCAAAAGCAGAGGTGCAATTTGCAGCTGTGGGTGGGAGCAGGCCAGTCTAAGAATGGAACATCAAGGCCAGGCGGGGCCCCTGGACCCCCTGCTCCTAACATCTTAGAAGCAAGCTAATGGTTCTTCTCGGGAAAACAGGGTGGCTGGGCTCCCATTCTATGCAGTGGCTACAGCTCGTGTTGTTCCATTGTGACCATGGTTCAAGGCCATGGCCTCCCAGGAGCCTAGAAGCCCCTTGGTGCAGAAACCCCAAGCATTGCTCCCCTGGCCTGGAGCCCCACCATAGGCTGGCTGTACAGTTGGCCTCATCAGTGGGGCCTGGTTCAACTTCTCCCTGGGCCGTGGATCGAACATACCCTCAAAGTTCCTGGTTTGCATTCTCATCCTTACGGAAAATGTCAAGATCTGGCTGTTGGGTCCCTCAGAGGGCCTTGCCAGGTTAAGCCGCCAGTTGAGCTGTGGTGGGTACGTGGCAGAGTGACCCCCTCCTGGGACTGCCCGTTAAGATTTCCCATGTGACATGTTGGCATTCCTGGCATTGCAGGCCATTCAGAGGCAGCTGGAGGAGGCGGAGGAGTGGCAGAGGGCCTTCGAGATCCAGGGTGTGAGGCTGGAGAAAGCGCTCAGAGGAGAAGCAGGTACACACCAGAGCCCGTGGGAGGCTGGCGGATGGCAACATCCCAGAGCCCTGGTGGCACCATGGCTAAGTGCTTGGGCTAACTGGAAAGGTGGGTGGCTTGTGAAAGATGTGGCTGTCTGCTGCCCTCGGGATGCCAGCCTAAGACATTCTGCGGGGACATTTCTGTCCTGTCCTCCAGGGTCATGGCTAGTTGACAGCCACAGGCTTGGATTGATTTGGGAACCAGTTAGGTAAAAGACTGAGACCTTGTCCCAGATCCATGCTAGATCTGTCAGTGTGGGCCTGGCTACTCTGTCCACAGCTGCTTCAGACTTTAAATCCAGCCTGTGGTCCGATCTGAAACTGCCGGGGCAGCGGTGAACCACGGAACTGAGTTTCTGATCTACCGTCCTCTCTTCTGTAAATGTTCTTTGCAACCCAGAGGTTAAGACAAATTCAGCAGAAATTCCTGGACATTCAAGCTGTGTTCCTAGTGACTTAACACCCAGATGTAGAATCCAAGTCCAAGCCACCTGACCTTATAAACCTCCCTGACCTTTGATTCTCTCATCTGAACAGGGTTGTTTTATTGGCTACCCTAGAGCCTTCTTGTACGAGTTAAGAAGAAAGGAATAAGCAATGTCTTAAGGAGCACATAGCCTAGCATGAGGCAGCGCAGTACGTGGGCACTGGTCCAGGATGGCACGGGGCCGGACAGTGTTTGATTCTGTTGTGCATGCGATAGTCACTGAGGGCCAGAACTGACCCAGTGACACCGAACCACCCCAGCCACCTCCCGCATAGCCCCATGCTCTTGGAGCCTAACAGAACTCTTGTGACAGAGACCTGCGATGTGTTGGGCCTTAAGACATGTGCTGGGTCTGTCACAAGGCATGCCACCCAGCTTCAGCTTTTGAAAAGCTTAGAGACCTGTGGTGCATACAGACCTGTACGAACTTAAACCACATCGCAGTGTGATGCGTGCTGTGAGGGGAGCCGGTTTGCAGTTGAATGTGCAGGAGGGAGGGACGTCCACTAGCTTCCCAGAGGCGGTGACATATGAAAGGGCAACAAGAAGTTCCTGGAGAAATTCCATGACGCCGTCCTTCCATTTTGTCCACGCACTTTTTGAAGCTGCCTGGTGTCAGCTGAGCCGCGGGGGGGAGCAAGAGGCCCTGGACAGTGTGTGGTGAAGGCCTAGCCCCCGCCTAGGCCAGCTGGGGGTCGGGGACATGAAGTGACTTCACAGATTTGGAGCTGGCGGAGGGTTTTAAGGTGAGGAGCAACTTAGAGAAATCTACATTTTTGGGGGAACCCCCTCAGTGGCAGTGTGGCCAGAGGAGGGGCCCTTGGAGGTTATTGGGAGGGGACAGCGGGAGGTTATTGGGAGGGGACAGCGGGAGGTTGTTGGGAGGGGACAGCGGGAGGTTGTTGGGAGGGGACAGCGGGAGGTTGTTGGGAGGGGACAGCAGGAGGTTGTTGGGAGGGGACAGCGGGAGGCTGCGTCTCTAGTTCTGTGTGCCATAATGTGGGCGACATGCTACTTGTTCAACAGTGAAAGGCTAGGACAGACATTACTTGAAAAGTCCATTTATTTGGCTCAGAGGCCCATCCAGATGACTTATCGCCATCCTCTAGAACCGGGCAGAACTGCCCCTGTGGGTTTCTGAGGTGGTCAGTCTTTATAGGGGGCCTCATCGGTCTCCCAAGGAGCAGCTGGTGGTTTCGAACTGCTTACCTTGGCATAGTGGGGGAAGGAGGAATGTAGGTATTCAAGGGCCCTGTGTTCAGATTTCATTCGGCTGCAGTTAGGCTGTGCAGTGCTGAGGGAATCACTCACCCTCTCTGGGCCCAGATTTCTTACCTGTCGAATAAAGGTTGCTGTCCCCACATGACCAGGCTGTTTTGAGAGCAAGCAATACTGTTGGGCCAAGTGTCTACCAGAGGATTTATCCCACCGGAGACATTTCATAACTGCCGCCTAATATTATTTCCCAGAAGACTTTTAAAACACACACTTCCACTTTGGAACAAGTGGCTCTCTAATCTTTACTGCTTGCGTTTTAAATGATACAGATCGCATTTTTTGTAAGAGGCATCCTCTGAAAACCTCCCTCCCTCCTTCCCAAACGTAAAAGAAGGATATTTTGAGTTTTCAGCTCAGGAAACCTAGCCGACTCGTGGTGTTTTCAAAGGTGGGCCAGCCCAGGCAGAAGATGGATTCCATTCATTCTCTTTCTCTCCTTGGTAATTTAATTCCTCCGCTAAGTTTATGGGCCTTGTTCTCCTGGACTGTCTTGTGTGGGTGACAGATGCAGATAAACACGGGGCTGGGGACGGAAAGAGTCCAGTCATGAAGACTGGCCCCAAAGGGAAGCAAAAGGGAGGTCTGCAAACCAAGCATCAGAATTAATACACTTGAACTTGTAATAACATTTGTGCAATAATAATAATATTCCCTTGCCATTTAATATCCAATTCAGCTCCTTTGAAAAGATTGCCCTGTTGCTTAATGAATGGCCAATGTTTATTAGGTTAAGTTGTATTTGAGCTGGCCTGGGCTGCGCCAGTTCAGGGATTTAATGGGAATTATTTAATAGGTCTTATTAGGATAATTAGAAAATGATCACAGTTAGGCAATAATATTGAGCTATAAAGGTTGTGAATAACCAAATTTAGTGGCAGGCCTGAAAACGGGAGTAGTCTGTGACAGTTCTACAAGTCTCCTCCAATAATGATGGGAGCCAGGCTGAAAGCGCCTTTTGTTCCCCGAGTTATTCATTAGGGAGGCATTGAATGGGAGGAGCAGGCGGGGGCGCAGGACGAAGGGCAAAGATGGCTGATGAGCAAAATGAGGCTTTGATGAGCTCCTAATTGTCACGGCCACAATCCCTGCTTTCTTTTCTCCCCAACAGTTAGAGAAAAGCTCCACCGCCCCCCAGGGAGGGTTCCCCCACCCCACCACCACTCTGTCAAGGAAATGGAAACAAAGGAAAACAAGGCTCCGGCAGGCCACTGGGATGACACATCGTTATGTTCTGCAGTGTGTGTGTGTAGGGGGGGGGGGCGTATAGTATGGATGGGTGCCTTTGACAAAGGGGACAGCCTCGCCACCTGCTCCTACCTGCCCGCATAAGGTGGCCTGATTTGTTCTGCATCCCCATCTCATCTGAGGAGCACATCACTGGCTTTGCCAGCCACTTAGTCTTGGAGTCTGTCACCCAGAGGTTTGCAGGCTGTCAAGGTGGTGACCAGTGTCAGGTGACCATTCCACTTTGGCAAGAGAGGACCATTTGCACGTAGATGCTCTAATAACGGAATTGGCCCTCAGTCAGATGGTGCTGTGGCCTTTCAATATTTTCAGACAGTTGAGATCAGAGGCAGCTATGAGCAGCTAGGAAGGAGTAAGGCTTTGCCCCTGGGAGAGGTGGGTGGGAATTCATCCTCCCTGATCACTTTACCCTCCTTGGGGAAGATTTCTCAGCTCGCAGCCCTCTGGAAGGGAGCTTTGGTGGACCGCCAGTTAGGCATTATTCAGTTCCCTGGGAGAAAGACTGGGCTGCCTGCGCCTGTAAAGACTCGCAGCCTCGAAAGCCCAGTATTGAGTCAGAATTGCGCGGTGACAGTGAGTTTGGTTTGCCGTGAACTCACCAAAGAGGTTTACAAAGAGAACGCAGGATGTGCGAGGCTGCCAGCAGGTGGCGCCAGGAGCACACGTTATAGCAGGAGAAAGTCCAGTGGAAACCCGCTCAGGAAGAGGGGAGCAGATCCACTTGTACTCTGTGTTTTTTCTCTTGATTGCCGCTGCGGGGAGAAGGCAGAGTCAGGTGCTGGAGAATGTAACCGTGAAAAGTCCCAGGAAGAACAGAGCTATGAGACTCGGGCACATCAGAGTTTGGATTCCCCATGCTACTGTCATAGGACAATTATTTCCTCGCTGCCAAAGTTTTTTCATTTTGGAAGATGGAGCTAATAACACCAGCCTCCTGGAGCTAAGATGAGATAAGGTCTACAGCCGTGTTAGTAAAGCACTGCCAAGTTCCCGGCACAGAAACCATGAGTGCCAACCCTGTGGTTTGGAGGCGTGCCTCCCTGACAATCGGCCATCACGTGGGAGGGGATTCTAGGGAATGGGTCATCACGTGGGAGGGGATTTTAGGGAATGGATCATCACGTGGGAGGGGATTCTAGGGAATAGATCGCTTTTAGGCACCTTCCACGATTACTTGTTCTGGAAGCGTACTGAAAATCAGTGAGCTCACGGTGAAATTCTCTTGAGAAGTCGCTGTGCTTTCAAAGGTCAGCAGAGGAGGGGGGTGGTGGAGATCCTTCTGTGATCCTACCAAAGTCACTGCCAGCAAGTCCATGGTGACTCATAGTGACCATATAGGACCAGGTAGAACGGCCTCTTTGAGTCTCCGAGACTGAAACTCTTTACAGGAGTAGAAAGCCCATCTGTCTTCCTCGAAGCTGCTGTGGCTTCAAACTGCTCATCTTGTGGAAGCGTCTGGAAATACAGAATGGTTTTGTTTATTTGTTAGTTTGCTTGTTTTTAATCACGTAGTCCAATGCTGTCGAGGCAGAACTCCAGAATTGTAGCGCACAGCTAGGTGTAGCAAGACCCCCAAGTGGACTTATAAGCACGCGAGGAGGTTGGGTTGGTTTTTCCACAATTTTCTAAATAAACAATGAACTCCTTAGTGTCGGACAAGGCAGGTTAACACTCACAGCACAGCACACAGCAGGGGCATCAGCAAGGCAGCACCAGCTGCCCTGCCCCCAAGTCCCACGGTGTGACGTGACGGGCAAGGCAGGCAGTCAATGTATAGTCACCACACGGTGGGGCCCTATCCGACTTCTTGGCATTGTCTCCCTGACTAGTTAAAGGAATGAGTTGGGCAGTTAGAAGACTTTCAGGCCTTGCGATTCAGAACACACGCCAAGGGTGTGCAGGGACACGTGGCATTGATAGAAGAGAGCATGGATAAGCCAGTCATTATACATTCACCTGGAATGGTC